CCTAGCAGCTTACCAGGACCTTTAAGCTCCTCTTCCACCGCTTCTTTCACGTCCTGAACTTCGACACTCCTGTCATTGTAAAAGATGTTAAAGTGATGAAGCCTTCTGTCAAGGGAATGAATACTCCATGCACATTCTGGAAATTCGCGTCTGAGAAAATCCAGTGCTTCCGATCTTTGCAAGCCTTGCTGGACATATTTAGTTAAAACTTCTTTTAGGTTATCGTCATTGGTCCAGGTAGACTCATGGTTATCCGCCATATTGGCTAATAGAATCACAGGCGCAGAGCTTTGTAGGCGCGAGTAGCATGATGGTAGTGGCAGAGCTTGGCCACGGTGAAATTCACTTTCACTTGCACTTTGAATTTCATTTGAAATTGATTTTATATTTCACTTTGAACTGTATTTCCATTTTAGTTTAACTTAACAGTAAAGTGGTTTTACTTTTAAAACTCAATGTACTTTTAAATTTCATTTAATTTTACTTCATGTTTTATTTAGTTTTGTTTTATTTCTCAGTCAAGCTAACATTTATTACACAAAAATATATGATTTTTTTACTGGCAGTTCTCGGCCATCATAGTGCTCTGTTGGAGATCCACAAATCTGATTTGTTCTCTCATTTTTTATTTGCTGATAGACAACGATTGCACATGCTGCTCTTGAAGCTGAAAATTATACATGATTTTAGGCTGTCATCCTTTAGTGTCTACTAAACCAATTAGTCTAATTGGTGGTGTCTCGCCTTTGTTTTTTATGAGTAGTAGTTGACTTAGCTAGGCCCCGTTGACCTTGTATTCACTCATGGAAAACTCAGGCAGCATGGTATAATTATACCATGCCATACAAATTTAGTGAGCATACGTGTATTTTTTTTTTGTGTACATTTTTATTCTTACTTTATTTTAGCTTTCTACATTTTGTGGGCATTTTTAACAAAACAATTGTTCCACTCATGCCTGCTGGATATGGATGAAATTATAAACAACTTGGCGCTATGCACCTCATTAGCTATCTATAATCACAAATCCAAGTGTGCTTGCGAAAAAATATTGGTAATTATTTCACTCTTCAAAAGAACATTTGCTTGAAACTGACAAGACAGAGCTGTAAAAATGGAACAAAATGAATTTAAATTGCCTTTACTCTGTACTATAGGTACTGGGTAAGTTGCACTTCTTTCAATGTGTAGAAAAGTTGTACACAAACTGAAGAAGGGAGCTCTCAAGTAAGGGAAGTGATGGGAAAATGCAAATAATTTTAATGAGTTTTGAAATTAATTCAATAATAATATTATGTTATTTGAAATGGTCATAAATTGTTACGATCTCATCTGGGTGGTAGGGAGACAGGAAATATATTGGGGGTCTAAGTTTCAAAATGACATAGATCTGTGATGATATAGTTGATCTGATTTATATGCACATTATAATTGGTTGGAAAAGGTTGAGGTCATTTGGGGCTTCATTCATACCTGCTTACAAGTCTGTATTTTCCCTTGTGGTCAATGAATAAATTGATATCTGATCTTTAATTTGACCAGTCATTTATCAGACAGATGATGTCATCCCTTCCAATTTCTTCCATTATACCAACAAAACCCTTTACTGAAAGAGAATGGTTTTTGTTTAGAACAGCATAGCTGGTGGAATTAAAATAATTATTATCTGGTTGTTGTGTAATGGCTGCCTGTTTAAGAATGGCAAGGTCAGGAAGTGAAATTCCAAGCTTGTATGCGAGCATTCTAACATCATTCCCATCAGCTCTCGGTATATCAAGGGTGAGACAAATTTTGTACAGAAGAGGATATGGTATCTCCAAAACCTTTGTGTCATACTTTTGTCTTTGTGACAGTGTTGACCAGATAGAAGGTCTTCCTTGCTCCAGTATACCATCAGCAATGGCACCATTCTGTACAATGAGAGATTGAGACAAAGGTTCAGGAGGAAGTGACCGGGTATGCAGTTGAACAGCATCAACTGTGAACAAAAAAATAAATTAAATGTAGTGTCAGCATGTTGACTTGCAATAAGATTTGGTATTTTCTGTCCCTCTATTAACTTGAAACTAAATTTCAGTGCTAACCCTAACCCTAACCCCAACCCACTCTAAAATGTTAGGCGAAATAATAATTATCATAATAATTATATATAAATTTGAATTTAAATTAAAATTATGTCTGACATTGGAGCTGAAATCACACCAGGCTCTCGTGCTAAACAACAGAATCACATATTATGTACCTTCCTTCCACCTCCTAAATATATCAACAAACTAATACCAAATTGAACTATCAGTTTCTTGCTTCTTGATATTGATACAAATACTACCATGCTGTTCTTGTGCAGTCACAAAAATGATTTTACAACAACAGTATTATCATATCTGTATTAATTTCTTTGATAAAAATGAATCATATACACATATTTTCTTCATTAAATTAATGCCTTAAGCATTTATATTTAAACTGCCCTGGTGGATCCAGCATGTATTTAACTACTGCAGTTTATTTAGGAGTGCAGTCATGTTCATGAAGTAAGCCAGGGTAGCTTATTGTTGAGGGCCATATCAGATCATGTCATATCACACAATTGTAACCTAAGGTCAAGGGGTTCTTTAAATTTACAATTCTACCATGGAGACAGGCATCATTGGGGGCCCAGTGCTTAATCAAGTATGGCAAGTATTACTATTTACCTGGAGCTGCAACAAGATCTGAGGGTCTGGTATTTCCTCCTGAAGAACTTTGTGCTGCTAAACACTGGGATCTCTGATTGCCATCTCCTATCTCAGATGCACAACCATTGTGACGTCTAAATTCAACAGTGTTTGTTGTACAATTGATGCTGCAAGTTTCTCTATCTTGACGAAGAACATCTGGCAGTGACTGTATTGGTGAGGAAGGATCAGGCTTGACATGATCCACTGGTTGTAGCAGTACTTGTTTTCTGCTTTTTCTTCTAATCCTGTACATGACAGCCACCAATGCAACTGCAAGAAATATCCCACCAAATATATAGATTCTTGAGTCTTTCTTCCATTCTGCTAATGCAAGGTCCTTTTCGCTCTTCTGCTTCTTTGTATCTGATCTGTCAGTTCCTTTAATACTGGATCTGGTAGAAGCACTGGAACTAGTAGTGGGATGAACAATGCTTGTGGCTGGTGCAACAATGAACTTACTAGAGATGGCCAAGGGCAGAGAATTTAAATACTGTGTTTGCGTACCAGCGTCAGGAAGAACCACAGGGTCTGATGGAATTAAGACACATTTTATGTCTGTACCAAAGGGAACAGTTGTTCCACAAGGGACTGATGAAGTGTAATCACCATCACATCGTAGACAAGGGAAACAACTGATGCACTCCCCTGTTATAGTGTCGACCGTTTTTATATATTGGCCAATGCACTCTGGGCATTGAGTTCTCACCCTTACAGGTATCTAAGAAAGTAAAAAGACAAAAATGCAAAACATTTTATAATGGACCCGAATATTTCAGTTGAATATTGGCAAATTTTGAAGCGTAACTAAAGACCTCGGTCACAGTTTTTCACCATACGGACCTCCCAGCCGGCAAATAACATATATATACTAATCAACATGTCGATTGTTGACCCTTGGCTCTTGGCGCATGAAATCGAGGCCACGAAAGAAACCCTTCGGCTAGGGAATACACAGATTACCCGTTCATGGGCCCCTGTGATAGAATATTTCCTCGTAGTTTGCTTTTATTTACTGCTGTTTGCTTGCGGTTAGCATTTATATACTAAGTTTGCTTGCGGTTAGCATTTATTTAGTACTGTATGCTTGCGGTTAGCATTTAGGGGGTGGAGGGGAAGGCGACTAAATGTGTCCTTCCATGAATTCTCTCGCCACGTCTAGTTTAGGTATAATTGCCCTTTGCTAGTTGCTCCTAGTTGATCAGAGCGTCTAATTTGACTTTCTGCGCCTGTGACGCTAGCTTATAAAGAGTGACGAAAGTTAACTTACGGCTAAAACCAGGAGGACGAAGACTGTTAGAGTCGACTGCCAGGTTAAACTTCTTGCTGCTAGGCCGAAAATTATAAAAAGGACCATCACCTTGAGTGAAAAATAAAGAAACGATAAGTCAATTCGAAAAAAGCATTAGCTCATCGCAGTGTCATCGGCCGAACTTGCCCACAATTCGAGCTACGAAAACTGCCTAAGGACTGTCTAAAAAGCCTTTTTTTCTTCAGGGGATTCCCCTAATTATAGATTCACAAAGCTGGGCTTATTGGAATGGATCGAACTTTGGACGGAGAAACATGCAGTCAAGCGCTAAAGCTGGAAGAAGAATTGATTTTGTTCGCCGCTCATATAATGGCGGCGGGTAGAAAAAAAACACACACATGTAAATACAAACAAAGAAAAATAGAAGTGGTTTCACACAATCGTAGGAGTGCTCGATTTACGCATACAAGAAGGAAAAAAGTGCCAGAAAGTGGCTTAATATTAGACCCTTAGACCCCTTCGTCAGTTACAATACTTATTAAAATAATACTATTAAGAACTAAGACTAAGAGGTACTTCACGGAAATATGACTGGAAAGAAATCCCTCGTCCGAACAGCAGCTATACTAAGAAAGTGGGAAAGAGGCAGTTTCGTCTAGAAACTCCCAGAAAATGATTCGCCCCATCATTTGCACTGGCGAAAGTCAATTCGCCAGTACTAAAAATCCAAAAAAGAAGTGTGTATAAGATATTTATCGTAATCTAAATACATCTACATGTATTGTGTTTATTCCTCGTTGTTCAGTCCATTCAGGTAATGCTGGACTGTGTGCCGTATCCTCAAGTGTGAGAAGATTGTCTTCACATCCCCCAACTTTGTGCTAACCCTTCTGAAACGTCTCGACCATATTAATAAACGTTTAAACACCCAAATTAAACAACAAGTGAGAAATATTCAAGTATCTGAACTTTTGCGTGGGCTTCTCCAAATTGCTTAGCTGGACAGAATATATTTCTGTACAACCTAAAATTCAAAGTCCGTTTTTCATCAATACCTATTTATTTTTACTGAGCTTTGCTTTCTATTATCATGCAAATAGTCAACACATAACTAGAATACCAACACGTCAAGCAGCAGACTTGGAACAACAAGCAAACATTTGCTGAGCAAGCGTATTTTTGAGCAACGCGAAAATGCCTCCCTGTTGGAAAAACCTTTGTTCTGGCTCTAATCCTAGATAATAAATTCTTCGAGAATTAGTCCCTTCAAATGCCTCCTTGTTGGAAGAACCTTCGTTTTGTGTCTTAATCCTGGATAAATTCTTCGAGTATTTGTCTCTTTAAATTTTCACATTCTTTTCTTTCGCACTGAACGATGTACACACTCGGCATAATACAAAACTGACGTCAAGATTTTGAATTTCCATTGGATGATTTCAATGGCGTGATAAAATATAATAGCAGCTGCCGTGCTCCTGACCTTAAAAATAAAACCAGTTTTCTTTTTTCGGCGTGACTCAGCACTTTCCAAAGTAAAAAGCGCAAGGTATAGATATACAAATAACTAAAAGAGGTGAAGGATAGAGACATGTTTTTGGACCCTATTGAGCCAGTTCTTGAATTTAGTAAAGATCATTGATTCGCCATGGTCCGAAAAATAGTAAAACTCAGGATCTTGCTTTTATTATACTGTATACGAGCATCAAAATAATCACGTTCTAAGCAATAACTCAAAAAACCTTTTAACCGACTATGTTCGAGCGCGATCAATAGAAATAATTTTCCGGAACCTTTTTTTTCCGTGTTTTAAACAGTTCACGAAGAACAAAAGCACTTTCGCGACAATTGTCGCATTTCCAGAATGTTTGCTGAATATAAACGCTAGCGAGAGGCAGGGGACGGTGCGAGGTTTGATTTCGCTGAGTCATTCTCTCCAAGGTGAAAATTACTCTTAAACGGAAAATTACTTTTTGCATGGCGTCGTAGGTGAATTAATGTAAATGAGCTCTCGGCGATATTTGCCCATGGAGCATATAGCCAACCGTGATAGCTGAAGCAAATTAATTTTTTCATTGTGGATCCGTCACTGTTATCCAGGTGTTTATGAGAGGTTAGCAAATGACAAAAACTTTTTACAAGGAGAAAAATCCCGCCCGCCTATTGATCTTCTCAGATAGGGATTATAAACACTAAATTCTAGTCATTCTAGACCATTCTAAGGCTTGGTTTATTTCTCGCTTTAAAAAGACCGAGACGACCATATAGACAATTCCTAGGCAATGTCTGACCCGAATGCAAATTTAATGTGTTTGCAGACGGCTAGATGGAAAACGCGGGGCCGGGGTCCCGGCGTACGTGGTCCCGGGGTGTGGAAAACGCGGGGTCTGGTGGAAAACGAGGGGTCTGGTGGAAAACGTCGGTCTGGTGGAAAACGTGGGGTCTGGTGGAAAACACGGGGTCTAAGTGGAAAACACGGGGGGAACGTTTTTTCGCCAAAATATGAATTTTCCTCACTAAAATGAAGAGTCGAAATATTGTTATTTTAAAATTGCAATGAAAATCAATTCCGCTTCTCGGCGTGAAACGCGTTTTTCGATCAGAAAAGCAAATTAAACATTTCGTGACAAAGAAAACCATGCAAGAGCCAACGTGCTGTGCATCGGTTTTCTTTTGCATGGGGCGTCTATGTTATTTTTCTCAGTAACTTGCGTGGTTTTTTTATACCTTTGAAAAAGAAATAATGAAATAATAAAGATTGTTTTGCTTATTATCTTAACCATGAAAAAGCCTTTCTATACAAATAATCACTTTTGATCGGTCATTATTTATCGCCTGGCGGATGGCGGAGGATTTTCGGCTAAAGACAGTAACATTTAGCTGATCCCCCATGTAAATGTTATTTTATTGAAGTATCCCCCTCATAGTTATTAACAAATTTTATAATCCCCCCTGAATGTCTTCGCACACATATTCACCTTTCGACATGTATATTTAGTGCTTTTAACAGTCATATGACAGTAACATTTCTAATCATGATGCTGACTTACAGATTAATGAAGCCGCCATGGTGCAGTCTCTTGATATGTGTCTTCCCGATATCTGATCAGGGTTCTAACAGAAGTTTCCACAGACGTTGAATAAAGTATAAAAGGCGACATGAATTAAAGTGAGGCCCGCTTCACCCGAAGGGACAAGCCAGCATATGGGGTCCGGGGGTATGTTCCCCCAGAAATTTTTGAAATTTTAGGTGGCCAAAGATGCGATTTCATGCATTTTGGGGGAAAGTGTTACAGAAAATGAGTTGTTTATGATCATAAGATTAGATGAAGCAAATGGCGCTGTTTCACCTATTTAATTAAAATACTATTTTCTTCTTGAAACGTCTCAGTCTGTAAGTCACTACTGGGCAGCAACATGTGAAATACCATGTGAACTGGATGTGAAGTGCAAAACATGTGAAATTTACTATGTGAAATTGATGATGTGAAATAATGAAACATGTGAAACACATGTGAAATATTTCTAGCATAGAAAAACATATTTCACATGAATGTGAAATTGCTGTGGAATGGAAATAACTCATCACAAGCATGTGAAATGAGTAAAAAACCGGGCAGCCCAGGCCAGATCTCCACAGGAGGTGCAAGGGATTAGGTACGGAGAGACCTTGGCCCCAAAGGGGTGAGTGATAGCAAGGCCAGCTGCCTGTGGAGGGGTGGCCTGGGGGACCTGTGTAGTAATAGGAATGAACATGAGATTAATTGACAAACTATGAACGCAACAATAAATGTAGTTACAAACAGACATCACAGTGTTCTCAATGTATCTAATGTAGTTATCAGTTAAAGCAAGATGCCAAGTTCTAGGGTACTTGAAGAATCGCCTCTTTGGAGTTCTTGATATAAGTTTGATAAACATTAGATTTCCACCTTCCGAGGACTTTGATTAGCCAATCAGGAAGTCCAGCTGCTCCCGCTGTTGTGGCTGCGCCAATACAAAAGCTGCGTGAAGTGAAGTTTGCACTGTCCAGGCCACAGATGTGGAGTAGGGCACGCAGGTTGTTGGTGAGTGATGCACGGGTAAGGTTGCGCCCATTGGTGAATTTGAAGAGAGACTGGGAGGTACTCTGTCCATGTGTTTGAAGAAGATAGTCTTGAAGGGTGGTGATGGTGCAGATGTTAGAGTTTGACCTAGCTCTCGTGAGTTTCGCTGTCTCGTGGAAGGGGTCAGTTTTGGACTTCTTAATAGTAACTTCACAGAAATGCGGATTGAAAATATTAGGGTTAAAAATGATATCTGATCTGGATAAGTGAGTATGGGGATCAAACTTGCCATTGCAGGTGAATTCACTGCTTTGTAGAAAACCGAAAAATGCTAGGGTAAAAGCAGCCCATAACATGGAAGAGTTGACAGCCTGGGAGTGAAAGGGTTGTAACTTAGAGTAGATTTGTTGGAGAACCGTAATAGTGATGGGGTAGCGCGCCCGTTTAGAAACGCCCTGAAAACATTTTATGCCTTGTAAAGTTTTATAAAGGAGGGGCATGGAGTTGAAGTCCAGCGGAAAACCAAACTCAGTATGCAGGTTTTTTACTGCTGCCAGGTAAACTTTTATAGTGCCATAAGAAACTGTATTGGAAAGGTGGGTAACGAAGTGAATCAAGGTAGCCTCACTGCTGGGTAATAAAGGGGTATCGGGGGAAACGAGCCCATGGTGTAAGCAGAAGAGAATAAATTGGCGTTCACCAGAGGAATAGGTATGGCGGGTGGTCACTGCAACAGAGGAGTAGATGAAACTGGCTGCCTGCAGAGTCAAACTTTGGTCAGGAAATGGGGGATCTGGCAAGGAACGGGTGATGCATCTGGTGCGAGAAGGTGGAAACGGGGCATCTGGAAGCGAGAGAGACTGTCAGCAATGCCATTGTCAAGGCCAGGGACATGTTTGGCAGAAAAGGTAAAATTGAATATTAAGGTCTGCAGGGTGATTAAACGAACGAGATTCATAATCCGGGGTATTTTTGAGCTCTTCGCAGAGAGAATAGCAACGGTTGCTTGGTTGTCACAGTGAAAGCAAATTCTCCTATTAGCCCATAGGGGGAGCCCAGAGCATGCAAGCTAGGTAAATTGAGTAAAGCTCTTGCCACTGGATGCTTATGCCAGTGGTAGAGTTGAGCTGATAGGAAGGGGGCCATCTACCCTGGAACCATAGGTTATTGAAGAAACCCCGGTAGCCAAAGGAACCAGCAGCATCCGTAAAAAGATGGATTTGGGGAGAGGGCTCAGTAAAAGGGGGAAGGAAAAGGCTAACCCCATTCCAGTGGTCGAGGAAAAGTTGCCACATAAGAATGTCCTTCCTGAATTCTTGGTTGAGGGAAATAAAATGCCCAGGGTGGCAGACCCCTCAAGTGAGATTGATAATCCGTTGCATGAAGGGACGACCCGGGGAGATAACCCGACAGGCAAAGTGTAAAGTCCCAATGAGCAATTGAAGGTCACGCAGACGACAAGATCTTTTGGAGGACCAGGAGGCAAGCATTAAGCGGACATTGTGTAATTTGTCATCTGGCAGTCTGGCTTCCATACTGACAGAGTCAAGTGTTATACTCATAAACTCAAGGCACTGGGTGGGGCGGAAGGTCTTCTTTGGGGCAAGAGGAATATTTAGTTCCTCAAATAGGGTAAGAACCTGGCAAAGAGCTGTGGCACAACGGGAGAGTGGAGGAGGCAAGGCAATAAAGAGGTCATCCAGTATATGGATAATGGAGGGGATGTTAAGGTGATTTTTGACTAGCCATTCCAGGGGATCGGAGAGTTGGTTGAAAAGGTAGGGGGGCACTTCTAAGGCCAAAGGGGAGAGCTTTGTCAAAGAAGAAATGACCTTTCCAGGACATACCCAATAATTCCCAATCATCGGGGTGAACGGGGATAATGAGGAAGGCAGATTGAATATTGGTTTTTGTCATGAAACAGCCAGGGCCGTGTTCAAGGACCAATGAGATAGCGTCGTCAATGTGAATATATTGGAGGGTGAAATGTTCAAGTGGGATGTTGGCGTTAAGGCTATCGGAGGACCCTTTGGGTAAAGAGAGGTGGAAAATAGTACGCCATTTTTGGCTATTCTTTTTAGGGACCAGCCCAAGGGGATGGATCTGAAAATTTGGAAAGGGGGGGATTTGAAAGGGCCTGCAAGGCGGCCAAGTTCGACTTCTTCCAGGAGGTTTCCTTCAATGAGTAAGGGATGTTGATAGGCCGAGGGAAGGTTTTTGGCTGTTTTGGGAAAACAGTTTCCTCGGTAGCCCACCCGAAAATCTTGGGTTAGCCCAGCAGTTAGGTTAGTTATGAAATTTTGATTGGGATGGGTCTTAAGGAGGTCAGACAGGAGGGGGATATTCACAGGGGTCTGAGGTTTCATGGACAGCAGGGCGTCAGCAGTTTGATGATTTCTTATCAGTCTGGCTTCTAGTTTTTGAAGGGGGGTCATCGTGGCGGAGGGCTGGGTGGTCTCCGTAGCAGGTTTTGCAGCGGTGGCTGAAAGGACAGGGGTCTTGGCTGCATTTGGTCCCTCGGTTGTAATTGTTGCAGAGTCCCCATTGTGTATTGTTGGGTCTACGGGCGGAAAGCGAGCACCCATAAGAATAATGATCCCCACTTCCACAAATCGAACAGCAAGATTTGGCTTGCCCGGTAAAGTAAAGTTGGGTATCACGTTCTCCCCAATTGAGGGAAAGATTGCCGGCCGCTTTCCGACGGAAATCGATGTCGTAAGAGAGCCAGGCGAATCCTGCGAATTTCCGTTGGGCTGATCGGATGATCTCCTGGAAGGCGAACATCTCAACTGCCCTCCGGGGGAAGGAGGTGAGCAAAATTGTACAGTACATGGCAAAGGCAGACAACCATTTATTGATAGAATCTACATGCGTTTTCTTCTTGCGGGGGTTAGGGAGATCTACCTGTTTCCTGCCAACAGATATGGATAACTCGGCAAGCTCGTTATCGGTTACAAGGGACGAGTTTTCTGGCAGCAGTAAATCAAACTCAACGTACTCACCACGTATAATAGCTTGCTTAGTCTTTGTTGAAACGTGGTCAGCAAGAGAAGATGATGATGTTGTCTAAGGTAGAGGAAGGTCGGCGCTTGCAGACAAAGACGGCTGTAAAAGTAGACTCGCCACAAAGGTTGGGTCTGCAAGTTGTTGAGATGTTGAGGGCTAAGGTGTCGAAGCGGATGCTGGAGGTGCTGCTGGAAGCGACGAGGCACTTTGCAGGGCTGGCTGAAGTTCTTCAGCTTTTGATCAACAATGTCGCCGATCAGCGTAGCCAGATGTGCGGGATTGAGTGCAGGGTTCGCGGGAGGGGCCTCGTTGCGGTCGCCATCTCAGACATTGTCCTGATTGTTGCCGTTTTGTTCGGCTGTTATGTCACCGGGTAACTCATCCTCCGGCATAGAGGGCTCATCATGAACGTCACTTCCACCGGGTTCTTGGCGGTTTGGGAAAGACGTTTGGCGGCCGATGCAGAGATGTCAGCGTTTCTCATGCGTGTGGCTGAGGAATTCGAAGGAGAGATCGAACCAAGCCGCTCGATCATCTGTTCGCGCGAACCTGTGATCTGCAAGTTGTTCTGCGCTAACAAGAGACGTAGAACTTCGTTGCTGAACCCAGAGACTTCCTCGAGGTGCAGTATCCGTCGGTGGCGGGAACAGAACAATGCTTAAAAAGGTTGGTTACACTTGAAGCCAAGTAACAACTTGCAGGACTCTGAGAAGGGAGAAACCGATTACTTGCACGGCGTGCTATCCTTAAATAGCGCTTACCAAATATGGAAGGGCATGTGCCGTCCAGGACCGCAGAGATTAGTGTGGACTCATCTAAACTAAGGTTGCTTGCCAACATTAACCTTTATTTTATGCTATAATAACAATAATACATAAATTAAAATTCAAATTAGAATTTATTATGTCTGAACTATCAGTTTCTTGCTTATGGATATTGATACAAATACTACCATGCTGTTCTTGTGCAGTCATAAAAATTAGTTCACAACAACAGTATTATCATATCTGTATTTAAGACGGAATCCACCAGAAGTTTGAGTAACAAGTGGACAAAAACCTAGTACCAAGATGATTAAAATCATATTACAAACTTCTGTGTGACTGTTTTAAATGTCTTCTCAAAAAAAAAAAATCATTTCTAGCAACACCAAACGTCAAAACAAATGTTGAACTTCATATGAAACACTTGAAAGTATTGGTGAAATGAAACTGATGATGAAATTTTACCTGTATTTGCACAATTTCTCTGAACTTTGAAATTTATTTACTCTCATTTCCATGGAGAATTGTTTTCGGTGTTATTTCAGGTAATTATTTATATCTTTAGCTTTAAGAAAATGTAAAAAGGACTGTAAAATACTTAAAATTATTCTGGTACTGATATTTGTCCACTAAAAGCTAAAATTGCTCGATTTTCTATCAGATTTCGTCTTAATAATCATATACATATTTTCTTTATTAAATTAATGCCTTCTAATGGCTTTTATTTTTAAATTGCCCTGGTAGATCCAGTAGTTTATTAGAACCCGGTGTTCATAAAGAAACTCATGGTAGCTCATTTTTGAGAGCCATATCATATCATGTCTCACCATTATAGCCTAAGGTCAAGGGGTTCTTAAAATTTACAATTCTACCATAGAGACAGGCATCATTGGGGACCCAGTGCTTAATCAAGAAAAGATGGTATGTATTACTATTTACCTGGAGCTGCAACAAGATCTGAGGGTTTGGTATTTCCTTCTGAAGAACCTTGTGCTGCAAAACACTGGGATCTCTGATTGCTATCTCCTATCTCACATGTACGACCATTGAGACGTCTAAATTCAACAGCATTTGTTGCGTAATTGATGCTGCAAGTTTCATTGTCTTGAGGAAGAGCATCTGACGGTGTTGGTGAGGAAGAATCAGGCCTGACAGGATCATCTGGTTGTAGTGGTACTTGTTTTCTGCTCTTTCTGCTAATCCTGTACAAGACAGCTACCAGTGCAACTGCAAGAAATATTCCACCAAATATATAGATACTTGAGTATTTCTCCCATCCTGCTGATGCAAGTTCTTTTTCAGTCTCCTGCTTCTTTGTGGTATCTGATCTGTCAGTTCCTTTAATACTCGATCTGGTAGGAGCACTGGAACTAGTAGTGGGATGAATGCTTGTGGCTGGTGTTTGCGTGCTAGCCTTAGGAAGAACCACAGGGTCTGATTGAATTACACATTTTATCTCTGTACCAAAAGGAACAGTTGTTCCACAAGAGACTGATGAAGTATAATCACCGTCACACTGTGGACAAGGGAAACAACTGATGCACTCCCCTGTTGTAGTGTCGACTGTTTTTATATATTGGCCAGTGCACTCTGGACATTGAGTTCTCACCCTTACAGGTATCTAAGAAAGAAAAAAGACGAAAATGCAAAACAATTTATAATGGACTTGAATATTTCAGTTAAATATTGGCAAATTTTATTTTCTTACCGCTAGATAGATTAGAAAACGTTACTGATCATAAAGCTCCGCCCATTCAATAATAAAAATATGTCAAATATTCCAAATTTTTCACCCCAAAATACCAAAAATAGGCCGAAAAAGGTACTTTATTTTACTCAAAGGCACTTTGAGTGCTTTCCTTCATGACTGGGAGATTTGGTGGCTGGATATCCCGGAAGAGTTGGTATAGATGCACAGAACGGTCAGTGTAAAACGCAGACTACAGACTGCAGACTGCAGACTGCAGACTGCAGACTGCAGACCGGGGGTAAAATGCAGACTGAGGGTAAAATAAAAAATATTAATAATAAAAAATGAGTCATAAGGATAAAATAAATAGTGTTTGTAAAATGCCACGTCAGGACTCACGAAACACATAAAGGCCTCACTCAAAAGTTGAATTTTGTACACGTCAAGTTTTGGCATCTCTTAAAACAAAATGGTCATACTAACGATTATTTGAGAACGCCGAAATATTATAATTTCTCGTGTTTGGATAGCCAACTGTCACCTTTCAGCAAATACCAATTCACAAACCTCTTGATATATTTAAGTTGTAAACAACGATTGAATGTCTTTCACAAACTAGGCTCGATACCTACAAGTTTAGCTAGCACTGTTGTTGTGCTGTCGTGTTTTTCTTGCCTTTTGTTCCGAATGATTCCAAGTCCATTTGAAGCAGCTAAGACACACAGTGGTTTGAACATTATTAAGGTCATTCCTCACATTTGCATTGCACATCCTTACTGCGCATAATTTATGGCGTCATTAGCGTGCACTTGTGCACGCACATATTGAAAACATGACGGGTTTGCCTTGACATTGAGCTCTGCCAGTTGAAAAATGGCTCTAGCTCACCAACGAGCATGG